ATAAAGAATTGCAAAGAGGGATTCCTCGAAGGATATATACCAATAAAAGAGCATGGCGTATTTTTTTCCTACTGCTTTGGCTAATTGTGTTTGATGTTTCAGTCATTCAGACTGCATTGTAATATCACAAGAACTATATTTCTTTTTCTTTTTCCTCACAAAAAAGGAATTGTATTTCTGCTAAAACAAAAACAAAAGACCCTGTAAAGAAGGTACAGATGAAAAAGAAATCATGAACCCAGGAACTTTGCTGCTACAATGCTACTCAAATTGCCAGCTGAAAAAGACATTGGGCATTGTTCTTCCAACATTTTTAGAGTATTATATTTTCCAGCGTATGGGGAACAGTGAAAAAAAAGAAGGGGCCAATTTTACCTTGGTTGATTTGCGCAGGGTAATTGAGGAAGGGAAGTGAGGCCTTGGTGAGGCCATTGGAGCCCATGAGCACGTCCGAGAGCCGGGTTCACCATATGCTTCACGAAAACCCCTGCACAAACGTAAAGTACCAGCTGAGCGCCTGAGCTGCAGGCACACGGCGAAACAATTCAGAAACGCATAGCAGCAAGTGATCACTTGCACTTCTTGCAGGTGGTACAGATGGAGGCATGCATGCATTGTAGTGCAGTCACAAGGTCACCTGAACTGAAGCCTCCTGTACATGTACTCCTGGAGCAAGACAAGAGCATGAATTAGCTAGCCACCAAAGATGATAATGTAACTGGGAGAATAATCGTGAGCTGAAAAAGTTTCACTGTCAAGAAAATTTATGCAGGAAGCGAAATTAAAGCATGGGGAAATTCTTCCAGGCAATTCAGAAAACCACGCTGACCAAGCAAGCATATAAAAGTCCATGACAACGGAAGCAAAAGGAGGGAAGAAAAAAATGGTGTATCTATGAGTTAAATCAACTTGAGAATATCTAGACATGTGGATCACAAGATCAGTAAGCTAAGGTTGCCTTAATCTCAGTTCAATATCCCTTCAAAAAAAGGATAATAAGTTTATTATGTCCCTGGAACTAAATCATTGACCTAAAAAAAGAATGAAAGCATGAATCAGTTCTTTAGCAAAAACACAACCACAAGATGCAAGCAACCACAGGCAACCTCTACTGAAAAAATCACTACAATAGAGAGAAGATTTCAAATTTGAGCTAATTATCATACAGAGTACAGGACCATCCTGCTTGTTGCATATTAGAAAAGGGAATGGACAGGATCTATTTACCTGTATACCATTGCACACACTGGTTGCAGTACCCTAATTATTAGATAACCATGTACCCTTTTAACACCAATTAAAACATTTTCAATAATGATTCTCTTTCTATATAGCAAACCATCTTTAAATGATTCTTAAATTATCCTAAATTATTCCTTATGCACACATAAAATTATTCTCATCTATTAAGCGCTCTTTTTGTTTTGCAACTCCAGCAACTCCAAGGCACTAAACTGGTAGGCGCTAAGCTATATGGATTACAAGAGTCAAAATACATGTAAAAAAATGGATCATCTGAGCCATTTCAACAAACACGTTGTGTGCAAGTGGGTCATACCATTGTCACTAATCAGATCCTCTTTATCAACAGCTCCATCACCAGTCTCAACTCCAAATACAAAATGTGATTTGGAACTGAAAGAAGCTTATTTATATGCAAAAAAAGAATCTCAATTGTAGACTGAGTCAAAATTTGCAAGCAATTTTATTGAATTAAAGAGCTACTTTGCTAGCTGTCTAGGCTACTGAATGATAATTCATTGTTGGTATATCCACTACTACAGATTTGATATATTGTCCCGGTTGGGAACTGGTTTTAGTCCCGGTTTCCCAACCGGGACTAGCGATCCGAGACTAAAGTGTTGTTCTTTAGTCCCGGTTTGCCACAACCGGGACTAAAGATCCTCCCAGCTTTAAAAAAAATAATGCCTCCCACCGCTGCGCCCCCTGAGATTCGAACCCAAGACCTCATGCACTGCCTCACGCGGAGCTTACCACCCCACCTACACAACACATCTAACAATGGATGGGATGCTTTCCTTTTGAACTAACCCATCGGAGGACCTTTAGTCCCGGTTGGTGTTACCAACCGGGACTAAAGGGTCTACCTTTAGTCTGGGTTGGTATTACCAACCGGGACTAAAGGTTGGAGGACTTTTTAGTCCCGGTTGGTGGCTCCAACCGGGAATAAAAGAACATTTAGTCCTGGTTGGTATTACTAACCGGGACTAAAGGTCCTTTAGTTTCGGGGGAAAAAATGTCGAGGCTAATGCTAAATTGAGACATCGTTCTAAAGTCTGTTCTCTAGTAGTGATCTCAACACGGATATCCACATACTCATCGATCATCTTGGCCTCCCCATTGCCCTCTTATCTGAAATGTCAGTCTCCTGAAATAGGCAACAAAAACAGGATCAATGAATCTTCAGATAAGTAGCAATCATTCCTTTTTCCGAACTGAAAGATGATCAATGATACATACCTTAAGCCCTTTTTATGACCATACAATTTTGTATGCACATGTGTGACAAATCTAAGTAGAAGCAGACCCAATGCATCCAGTACCAATGTATTTTTGAAGAAACGAACCAACTGGAAGGAAAACAATGTACTATACTTCACGTTGGCAGTTTGGCAATAGGTGGACAGTTTGGTCAGGAATACCTACAGCTGAAGTGCATACTAACATCTATGGAAGCTAATTTTTTTTAATCTTCAAAAACAAACATGCATACTAACATCTACGAAACTACTCAAAGTCCCGTTTATGAGGAATTGACTAAAAAGCTAAATCCAGTGCAAGGCACGAACTGAATGTATACCTTGTCATCCACGTAGCCACCGCTGCTATTGCTGGCGAGCGTCTCCAGGCGGGAGCTGGGCACCGCCACCGCGGGCGAGGTCGGCGCTGGGCGGACGCGACCTGCAGCACAGGCAGCTAGGGCTTACTGTATCACGTGAGCAGCTGCGGAGCAGAGGGACGGAGAGTGAGGAGGGAGCGCCAGAGGGCAGCCACGACGGCGGCCACCGGCGAGGCGGCCATGGCCATGGCGCCGTGGCCGGGATGAGCACCACCGGGCCCATGGGCGAGGCCGCGCCGCAGCCTGGGGACGCCGTCGTCGCGCCGCCAGCGCCTGGCGCCGTGAGGGCACGCCGCGACACGAGGGGGAGATTGAGGAGGAGGAGGACGGCCAGCAATGGCCGGGCGGCCTGGGCGGCGATTCGGCCGGGCGCGAGGCTGCAGCGGCGGGGGTGGGCGCGGGGGAGCGGGCATGGATGGGGGCGTGAGGGTTGGGCCGCGCGGGGTTGGGCCGGTGGCCTTTTATGGCAAATTTTTATTTTATTTTTGAAAATCGCAAAGGCCACTTTGTCGAGTGCCCTCTATGGCACTCGGCAAAATATTTTTTTTATTTATTTTGGGTCCAAATTTTTTTCTGGGGCCTTGTGACAGTATTTCAAACTCTATTTTAAAATTTGTGGCAATTTTGACTTTTTTTGATATATTTCATTAGTTTATTTCGTTTCGTCGAATTTTTTAGGATATTTCAAATTTGAACTGCAGGTACATGGAATAATAGACTTTGGTCATCCAAAAATTGATACTCATGATATTTAGGGTATGTTTAGGCCGTATCCAGGAACTCACATGAAATCTCGAGCATCTCGTTGACGTAACAAGTCGAGGTACTTGCCGGAAATGTGATTTTAAATTATATAAAATGCAAACAAAGTCCGAAAATCACGAAACTTGTCGAGGCGTCGTGCTATCGCATGTGGAGGCTGTGGTAAAAATTTGAGAAGGTTTCAAGCAAGTTGTGACATCGGATGTCAAAAACTCAGACATCTCCACATGTGATCACATGCGATCACATATGGAGATGTCTGGGTTTTAGGCATCCGACGTCACAACTTGCTCGAAACTTTCTCAAATTTTTTTTAGGCATCCGACGTCACAACTTGCTCGAAACTTTCTCAAATTTTTACCACAGCCTACACATGCGATAACATGACACCTCGACAAGTTTCATGATTTTCGAACTTCGTATGGATTTTATATAATTTAAAAACACTTTTCCGACAAGTTCCTCGTCATGTTACGTGAAGAAGATGCCCAAAATTTGATGCGAATTCGTGGATAGGGACTCAACATACACCAAATACCATGAATAACATTTTTCGAATCACTAAATTGCATTATTCCATCCACCTGCAGTTCAAATTTGAAATATTCGAAAAAAATCAACGAAAAGAAATAAATTAGGGAAATATATCAAAAAAGTCAAAATTGGCCCAAATTTTAAAATTGAGTTTTAAATAATGTATTATAGCACCACAAAAAAATTAGGTTCAAAAAACCAAAAAAAAAATCTTTACCGAGGGCCTAGCCTGGCCCTCGGTAAAGGGGGTCTTTGCCGAGGGCCTCACCAATGGCCCTCGGCAAAGAATATTTAAATAAAAAATAAAAAATCTTTGCCGAGGGCCTAGGCTGGCCCTCGGCAAAGGGGGTCTTTGTCGAGGGCCTGACCAATGGCCCTCGGCAAAGAATATTTAAAAAAAAAATCTTTGCCGAGTGCCTGACGGCGGGCACTTGGCAAAGACTGACGCCAGTGGCCGCCGTGACCCATCCGGCCATATTTGCCGAGGGCCAATTTGCCGAGGGCTAAGCCCTCAGCAAAGATTTATTTTGCCGAGGACCGTTTCTTTGGCGAGGGCCTAGCTTTGCCGAGGGCTCCTCGGGCTGGCCCTCGGCAAAGACCCCCTTTGCCGAGTGCCCGAGATCTAGCCCTCGGCAAATCCAGAAGCCCTCGGCAAAGAGGCCGTCTCCAGTAGTGCAACTCCTGCATGAGCAGGTGCCACGGCAAGGTATTGCCGAATCAAGGGCCTTGCAATGGTTTTGGTTGCTGTTCCATCCGTCTACAAAACGACATCTCAGGCTTTCAAGGAACAATTGTTCGGGCTGATAATATGGCAGCACAGTCACATCCTCTGCACCCTGGCATCATGGCTTTCATGTCGATTGGAGATCATTACATGGAAAATGCGACTGATCTTTTCTCAAGTTGGACAAATGCAAGCAAGATTGATGACGCTGCACTTTGGGTTGCCATCATGGACCAACCAAGCTGCAAAATCGCGCAGATGAACAAGGCAAGCTATGCTTGTGGTGGCACCGACAGCATTTGTAGAAATGCATCACATGGAGGTTACACCTGCGACTGCTCCAATGATTTTTACACGTCCAATGCTTACCTTTCAGATGGATGCATGCTGAAACAAGTTTCTACTTGCTTGCTTTTCTCAAAAAAAATGAAAATATCACAAACATGTCATTTCAATCATCTTGTTCTTACTCCTTGTCAATTTATTATGGTGCAGATTACAACCCGAAGCCTAAAGAGCATTGCCGGAGGTCATGTGGAAACATGACCATTCCCTTCCCTTTCGGCCTCGAAGAAGATTGTTATGGAAACAAAAGGTTCAAGCTTAATTGTACAGCAGGTAACACTACACTTTTCAGCTCAGGAAGTGCACAATATCACGTGATTAATGTGTCGTAGAAGATGGGACTCTGATTGTCAGCAACACACTAAACAACAATGCAAGCTCCATGAAAGAAATGGTAATAGTTAATACCAACGAGCAAGGAGATACTGACTTCGAGGGCCCTGTCGAAGATCAATTTGATTTTTCTATGGAATATTGACATTGTTATAAGATGGGCAATAACCAATTCAACTTGTCAGCAAGCTAAGCAGAATAATAGCAACTATGCATGCCGTAGCACAAACAGTTCTTGTCTACACGTAACCCATGGGGGCATATTTATGGGGTATCGTTGCAATTGTTCTTCCGGCGTCCAAGGAAATCCGTACATACAGGGCGCCTGCAAAAGTACGTCCCTCTCATCGATCAATAGTTCAGTACGTCTACAGAGCATTACATCACTCATACCCAAAATGGAATGCATATTAGTCGGATCACATGCTCTAACAGAGCTGTAATTCAAAGTTCAATCGGATCAAATTATATAAACATTGGATTTGTTTTCAGCATAGTATAATACAAGAATATATGATACTCTCACAATTCGAAATTACAAGACATTTTGGTTTTTCTAGATATATAGTTTTTGCTATGCACTTACTTATACACTAATGTCTAGATACATAGTAAAATCAATATATATAGAAAAGCTAAAACATCTTATAATTTAGAACGGAGAGAGTATATTTGTAAGGGTCAATATAAATATTGAATAACAAATTAGATGTCTACAGATATTGATGAATGCTCGCTGCCAAACTACTGCAATGGCACATGTGAAAATATCCCTGGAAGCTATAAATGCACGCCATGCCATCACAGTAAAGAATTTGATTCTATTAAGGGGCAGTGTGTCATATCGACTAAGCAACGGAACCTTCTTTTGGGTAAGTCATAGCAAACAAATTCCCCTTGCAATTACATTTTGTAACATTAACATGGTCTTATAACCACAGCAAATGCATATAGGTATTGCAATTGGAATTGGTTGCGGCCTTGGCTCCATATTTCTTGCATTGGGTGCAATTCTACTTGTCAATAAGTGGAAGAAAGGCACCCAAAAGAGAATCCGACCAGCATACTTCAAGAAAAATCAAGGTTTGCTATTGGAGCAACTGATCTCAGATGAAAGCGCTACAAGCAAAACAAAGATATTCTCATTGGAGGAACTAGAGGAGGCGACTAACAACTTTGATGCTACGCGTGTTCTTGGTAGTGGAGGACATGGAACAGTTTATAAAGGGAAACTGTTTGGTTGCTGCCTAGAAGATGTGGTGCCCTTGCTTGTATATGAATTCATTTCAAATGGAACTCTTAATGAACTTCTTCACACTGATACTACATTAAAATGCTTGCTTTCATGGGATGATCGCATTAGGATTGCAACAGAACCAGCAGGGGCTTTTGCTTATCTACACTCAGCAGCTACAATACCAATTTTCCACAGAGATGTCAAGTCTTCAAATATACTATTGGATGACAACTTCACCACAAAGGTTTCAGATTTTGCTACTTCAAGATCTCTTTCACTTGATGAGACCCATGTGGTGACAATTGTTCAAGGAACATTCGCTTACTTGGATCTACAGTATTATCATACCGGTCAACTAACTGAGAAGAGCGATGTATACAGTTTTGGAGTAATACTTGTGGAACTTTTGACAAGAAAGAAGCCAATTTTTATTGATGATGTAGGTGCAAAGCAAAGCTTGTCCCATTTCTTCATTGAAGGACTTCACCAAGGGTCTCTTATTGAAATAATGGATACTCAAGTTGTGGAAGAAGCAGACCAGGAAGAGATTAGTGAGATTGCTTTACTTACAAAAGCGTGCTTAAGGGTCAAAGGAGGAGAGCGACCGACTATGAAAGAACTAGAAATGAGGCTACAATTCCTAAGAACAAAGAGGCTATAAAAAAGACAACATTTACTTGAACAAGGAGGAGATATTGAGCCTTTGTTATGTGCAGAAGCTAAGAATTCGCTCGACCATATCAACCTTGTTAATGCTACCCATATACAGCCTGTTCGCTAATTGGTTTCTGGGCTGATAAGTCCGGCTGGTGCTGATTTGTTGTGAGAGAAAAACACTGTATCATAGCTAATAAGTCCTGGCTGAAACCAACAAACGAACAGGCTGATAATACCTCAAGAGACCTCTAGGTGCTACAGTTTGGAGCAAGAATGTGTGTCTTCGTTTAGGCCACGCTAACTACATTTGTGCTAGATAATAAAGGGCTTTGCTTAGATACTGATTTATCTAAGATATAATATATTGTGAGCGCGCGTGGGAATAGTACCTATCTTCAGAATATTTTGTACCAACTATCGGTAATGCATGAAGCGATACATTTCATTGACAAATGACCATGGCGCAAGGGGGCCTACCAATTGAAGGAGACGACAGTAGCCAAGGCCCAAGGCCGCGGGGGACGCATCAACCGGCTGTTCGTGCTGGGAGCGTCGGAGGAAAGAGGCGGAGGGCCTGTTCCGCTTGGCAGAGCCTCTACCGACTACGGCGACCTATGAACACCTAAGTACGGCGCTCGGCAGAGTCGCGGCGAGGAGTCGAGGTGCTCGAGGACGGAGCAGGCATTGGCACAGAAATTGGGCCTGAAAGGATTTTCCTTGATGGGCCAGGGAGATGCTTTCATAACTATGGCCCAAGAACTGCTGTCGGCAGCGTGGGTCAAGGACTTTTAACACGCCAAGCATCCATCCAACCAGCAGCATGCTCGCCGCGCTGGGGCCTCATGTCCGGACAATCCTTACTCCCAATTCAGTGCGGTTAGTTCTTTGCCTTGACCATTTGCCAGCAGCTTCGGCCAAGGACGACGAGGAGCCTAGATGCAAGCCAATGCTAAGTGAGATACTTATTACTTCATGGTACGAGCATGAAGCAGCAAGGACACAGGCTTAGCTGTCTGTGCTCGACTGCTCGTCCAGCCCCCGTTGCGCCTGCAGCTAGCGCATGTACGCCGGATGAGTTTAACACAAATCTTCTAGTAGTGTCGATTTGCTTCCCTGAGCTTTTTGCTGAATTTAAAAAGCACTATCAAATTCGAATACCGGACAACGCACTCCTTTTAACTTTCAAAACCTGAAATTCGGAGATGACCTCGTCCCTCTCGCAGCTGGTCTCCAGGAGTCAAGTGCATGCACTCCAAGCAGAACACGCAATCGGCTGCACAAGGCCTTGCAAGCGGGACGGTGGATTTCAGAGATCATTTGTGGTGTCTCAGTCCAGGCGCTGGTACAGTACCTAAACCTCTGGGATCGACTGACAGAAGTAAACTTGAGGCAAGGGTGACTGATAAGCTCATTTGGCGCCGCTCTCTGAGTTGGGAGTTCAACACTTCAGCTCCAAGTTGTCCTACACAGCTCTTCATTATCTTGGATCCCTACCTTTTGAATTGAAGAGGAAGTTTAAAGTACTTCTTCCGTCCTAAAATAAATATATATCTCGCTTCCCGAGAAGTCAAAATTTTTAAGTTTGATTAAATTTATAAAAATATACTAATATTTATGATGTATACTAACAATCGTTAGATTGAATATGAGTATACTTTTATAATAACTTATTTGAAGATATAAATATTGATACTATTTTCTATATTCTTAGTCAAACTTAAAAAAGTTTGTCTCCTCGAAAAATGATATGCGTATTTATTTTTTAAATATATTTTAGTACTCCCTTTGTCCCAAAAAACATCATCGCAACATTTGAAGTACATCCAGAAAAGAATAATGTTTTAGACATAGGTCCCACTTAACATTCCTTTTCCGTGGCTATCCGCACGCCCCATCCCTCCCTCGTCGTTCTCTGTTTCTCCCTCCCTAGCTCCTATTTTCCTCCGCCCTCTCCTCTTCCTCTTCACCGGTGAACCCCTCTTCTTCTCCTCCGCCGGTCGCCCTCCTCTTCTCTTCCATCGGTGGGAGGCCGGCGCACACCCTCCTCTTCTTCTCCGTCAGCGTGGAGGTGACACTGCCTGGCGAGGCTACATCGGGGCGGCGGAGATCCGTCCCCTCCCTCCTCTGCACCTCCGATGTCTGTCAGTAGCCTCTCCTCTCTCACCGTTCGAGAGAAGGCTCAGACGAAGAGGGCACGGAGTCGCTAGATCTGGAGTGGGCTACGGGCTCCCTTTGCAGTGCTCAACAAGGAATGGACCAGCAGCAAGGCGAGGCGAGGCGGCCACCAGCCACCATGTGGATCTGAAATTTTGAATGTGAACGGGAGAAGAGAACATGGTAGAGACATTGTGGGGCTATTTTGGTCTTTTTTCCTTGCTTATTGGTTCTGCTCATTCCTAGAATGACACTAATTCTGAGACGGTAATTCTGAGATGGAGGGAGTACGTTCTAGAGAGTCAAGTTGACAAAAGCTTCTGCTGCCCAGCATACTGTTCCATACACCATACTATAGTCGGTCCTCGCGATTGCTAGCTGTAGAAAGAGTAAACGCCAATATCACATCAGCCTTGCTGTAAGGATTGAGAAATGTATGGACAGACTAAACGCTGAATTAGTTTTAGTCATTTCAGCCGCTGCTCATAATACAGAGACGGAAACTCGTGAGAAGACTCAAAACTCCATCGACTATGTAAGTGGTTCTAACCCCCCCTGTCCACATAAGAATGTGCGAGTAGGAGTAATTTTAAGTTAATGTGTCTAAAGTTTAATTAAATATATGGATAAAAATATTAATGTTTATGGCATTAGATAAATATAGTATAAAAATATATCTTATGACAAATCAAATGAAACGTATTTAATATTATATTAATATTTTTACTTATAGTTAGTTAAATTTCAAATATTTTAATTTGGTATTATACTAGAATTGCATTCTTTTATGGACAGTCGGAGTATATAGTTAGTCCGCTATATTGGTAAAGTGGGGAAACATTAGCAAAAATAAGACACAGGGATTTCATCTATTGCTTCTAATTTTAGCGTCCGCTTTTTCATTATGCTTGTTTGGATTCCATGAAATTAAAACCAATATCTAGAAAGTGCTTCTTATTTTATTATTAGATTATTTTCAATTTCTCTTAATTCCAAGACACCAAACAGGGCAAAGAAATCTAGTTTAAACTCTAAAAAGTTAGGGATATACTTGAACTCATCTGTCTCTAGAAATCATTTTCCCAGAATTATTAGTTATGTTGCTTCTTACCAATGCGCCTCAGAGTGACTTGAAACTAAGTGGTTGATATTTTCCATTTGTATTCACTTTAGCGAACATTGTAATGCATATTTGAGATCCTAAACGAACTTAAATAAAAAAAGTTTGAATTGAAAAGCTTTAAATCACTTCAATTACAACTTTGGTGTAGGTCGTTTCTCCCTCTGAAATCATTGGGAAATGTAAAAAAAAATATGAATAGCAAAATCATTAATCTTAAAACATAAATTTTGGGTCCTAAATGAATTCAAATGACAAAGTCATCAACTATAAAGTTGCATACATCTTCTGGTACTACAACTTTGGTTTATGTCGTTTCTCCTTCCAAGGTCATTTGAAAAATTCAATAAAATATGAATATCAAAATCATTAATCTTAAAACATAAATTTTGGGTCCTAAATGATTTCAAATAAAAAAGTCATCAACTAAAAAGTCCATATATCTTCCAGCACTACAACTTTGGTTTAGGTCGTTTCTCCATCCGAGATACTTTGAAATTTTTTGAAAAAAAATAAATTTCAGAATCTAAAAACTTCAAACATAATTCCTGGGCACTACAAAATGTAGTCATGTACAAAGTTGTAGGTCCCTTTGAGTACTGCAACTTTGGTTTTGTTTCTCCATTTGAGGACATTTAAAAAATTAATATCGAATTTCAAATTATAAAAACTTAACACAAAATTTTCTGACCTTAAATGATTTCAAATGGAAAAATCGCCAGCTACAACATTGTAGATCTCTTTGAGTACTAAAACCTTGGTACAAGACCTTTTTGAGGCAGGACAAATTGTCAACTACCTCTAAAAAATCCATTTCTGAGTCGGCTAGAATTCCCAACCCCCTCTAGAAATACCACCATTTTCTAGGAGCGTTCGAAAAGTCTAGGTGCCTCTAAAAATTGCATTTTTGGAGGTGGTTTGGTTTGCCAACCAACCTCTAAAAATAGGAAGCATTTCTAGAGGTGGCTCAAAAGCCTAGCTACCTCTAAAATCGATTTATAGTGGCAAACCATTTTTAGAGGCGGATTTTGATAGAGCCGCCTCTACACAAAAAAGAAGGCGCCTCTAAAAAATGGTTTATATGTAGTAGTGATACAAGCTATTAGGAATTATTTTACATGTTCCACAATGTTTATCCGGTTCTCATGGCTAAGAAGCAAGATTCTTGATTAATATTTGTTGTATTTTGCATCATATTTGTTTTTTACACAAAAATATATAGATTTTTGGTACTTCATCTATGTCATAAGAATAAGAAATAATTTAATTTCATAAAAAAACTTTAAGTTTTGTGTCACCTTGGTAAGCATACTGAATAAATATTATGAAGTAGAGGTACTAGTTTAGACTTAATAAAGTTCTTTAAAATATTGGAGCAACCGATCAAGGAATCTCATGAGCAATTTTATTTTTCCCAATACATCGAGAGATCTTGGATCTTTACATCGAGAGCGTTTGGTTTATAATTTGTACTCCCTCTATTCTAAATTGTAAGTCGTTTTGATTTTCTAGATTTATACTTTTTACTTATATGTAGACATAGTGTATATCTAGGTGTATAGTAAAAGATATATATATCTAGAAAAGCCGAAACGACTTACAATTTTGAACGGAAAGACCACTAAGTATGAATATTTATATACAACCCACTTTATGTAGTCTACAAATACATATTAGATACCTACTCGAATATGAAGCTGCAGTATGTGCAAACAAACCAAAGTGGGCCTTTTATTTTGATGCTATATAACTAACTCCCACCAAGAGTATGCCTTATCATCTTTTTCAAATTATAGTTTAATTTAGTGTTGTCGTACATCTCTGATTTTGATCAAGTTTATGAAAAAACTATCAATATTTACAACATCAAATTAGTTGTCAATGAAAATATGTCTTGGTAGTGTATTTATTTGAACATGTAAATATTACTATAGCTCTCTAAAAACTCAGTCAAAGATAGAAAAAAAAGAACAAAGCTAAAGAAACTATGATTTGCCTCGGAGTCGGAGAGAGTACATATGCAAGAATTTCACTTCAAAAATGTATTTTGATTGACTCGTGACTAGGTGGCAATTCAAAGTCTACCCTGGTAAACTCTCAATCACGCACTGAATGATGAATGTGATATATGCCCACATAACTACCACAGCACTCACAGTCCAGAGTCCAGCCGCTAGCGATCGTACGACCCGGCGCCGGCGGAATGGACCAGCAGCAAGGCGAGGTGAGTCGAGGCATGCCGGCCACCGGCCACCGTGTGGATCTGAAATTTTGAATGTGAACGGGAGAAGAGAACATGACAGAGACATTGTGGGGCTATTTTGATCTTTTTCCTTGCTTATTGGTTGTCGTGCTCGTTCCTAGAATGACAATAATTCTGAGACGGAAATTCTGAGATGGAGGGAGTACGTTCTAGAGAGTCAAGTAGACAAAAGCTTCTGCTGCCCAGCATACTGTTCCATACACCATACTATAGTCGGTCATCGCAATTGCTGGCTGTAGAAAGAGTAAACGCCACTATCACATCAGCCTTGCTGTAAGGATTGAGAAATGTATGGACAGACTAAACGCTGAATTAATTTCAGTTATTTCAGCTGCAGCTCATAATACAAAGACGGTAACTCGTGAGAAGACTCAAAACTCCATCGACCATGTAAGTGGTTCTAACCCCCTGTCCACCAAAGAATGTGCGAGTAGGAGTAATTTTAAGTTAATGTGTCTAAAGTTTAATTAAATATATAGATAAAAATATTAATGTTTATGGCATTAGATAAATATAGTATAAAAATATATCTTATGACAAATCAAATGATACGTATTTAATATTATATTAATATTTTTATTTATAGTTAGTTAAATTTAAAATATTTTAACTTGGTATTATACTAGAATTGCATTCTTTTATGGACAGTGGGAGTATATAGTTAGTCTGCTATATTGGTAAAGTGGGGAAACATTAGCAAAAATAAGACACAGGGATTTCATCTATTGCTTCTAATTTTAGCGTCGGCTTTTTCATTATGCTTGTTTGGATTCCATGAAATGAAAACCAATATCTAGAAAGTGCTTCTTATTTTATTATCAGATTATTTTCAATTTCTCTTAATTCCAAGACACCAAGCAGGGCAAAGAAATCTAGTTTAAACTCTAAAAAGTTAGGGATATACTAGAACTCAACTGTCTCTAGAAATCATTTTTCCAGAATTATTAGTTATGTTGCTTCTTACCAATGCGCCTCAGAGTGACTTGTAACTAACTAAGTGGTTGATATTTTCCTTTTGTATTCACTTTAGCAAACATTGTAATGCATATTTGAGATCCTAAACGAACTTAAATAAAAAAAGTTTGAATTGAAAAGCTTTAAATCACTTCAATTACAACTTTGGTGTAGGTCGTTTCTCTCTCTGAAGTCATTGGGAATTGTAAAAAAATATGAATAGCAAAATCATTAATCTTAAAACATAAATTTTGGATCCTAAATGAATTCAAATGACAAAGTCATCAACTATAAAGTTGCATATATCTTCCAGTACTACAACTTTGGTTTATGTCGTTTCTCCTTCCAAGGTCATTTGAAAAATTCAAAAAAATATGAATATCAAAATCATTAATCTTAAAACATAAATTTTGGGTCCTAAATGATTTCAAATAAAAAAGTCATCAACTAAAAAGTGCATATATCTTCCGGCACTACAACTTTGGTTTTGGTCGTTTCGCCATCTGAGATACTTTGAATTTTTTTCTAAAAAAAATAAATTTCAAAATCTAAAAACTTCAAACATAATTCCTGGGCACTACAAAATGTAGCCATGTACAAAGTTGTAGATCCCTTTGAGTACTGCAACTATGGTTTTGTTTCTCCATTTAAGGATATTTAAAAAATTAATATCGAATTTCAAATTATAAAAACTTAAAACAAAATTTTCTAACCTTAAATGATTTCAAAAAGAAAAATCGTTAGCTACAACATTGTAGATCTCTGAGTACTAAAACTTTGTTACAAGACCTTTTTGAGGCACGCCAAATTTTAGTGTTGTCGTACATCTCTGATTTTGATCAAGTTTATGAAAAAGCTATCAATATTTACAACATCAAATTAGTTGTCAATGAAAATATGTCTTGGTAGTGTTTTTATTTGAACATGTAAATATTACTATAGCTCTCTAAAAACTCAGTCAAAGATAGAAAAAAAAAGAGAACAAAGTTAAAGAAACTCTGATTTGCCTCGGAGTCGGAGAGAGTACATATGCAAGAATTGCACTTCAAAAATGTATTTTGATTGACTCGTGACTAGGTGGCAATTCAAAGTCTACCCTGGTAAACTCTCAATCACGCATTGAATGATGAATGTGATGTATGGCCACATAACTACCACAGCACTCACAGTCCAGAGTCCAGCCGCTAGCGATCGTACGACCCGGCGCCGGCGGGCGGGCGACGACAGCTTTATACAGTATCTGCGCATGCACGAAACCGTATCTATAGCTTTTAAATATGAGTAGTAGTTCCGGTAACGGAGAATATAATCCCGACACTAAACACCACGCAGACAAGCTGATTGGCTTAATGATGAGCTCGAGTAGAGTAATGGTTTGTGCCATGGTGTTCGCTCTGGCGTGCTTGGCGTTGCCGGCCATGCCACCTGCATCCGCAAATGACGGAGGGATACTGTATGTCCCGTCCGCTGCCACCATAGCTAGTCACTGCCCCTCCAGCTGCGGGGACATCAACATCTCCTACCCCTTCGGCATAGGGGCCGGCTGCTTCCGACGTGGCTTTCAGTTCGAGCTTACTTGCAACCACACCACTCAACCTCCAAAATTGTTTCTGGGTAACAGCACAATTCAGATTACTTACATTTATGGTTCCTCGGTATACATCCCAGCTATGTTCTTCAACAGTAGCTTGGAAGAATCTGGTACGAACACCCACAATATATCTTGGAATGCCCCCGCCAAGGGTATTACTATCCCCGGTTATATCACTTTCTTCTTCCTTGGCTGCGATTTTGATGTTGACTTGTTTGACTCTGTGAGGAACCCTATCGGCTCCTGCATGAGCAGGTGCCACGGCAAGGTATTGCCGAACCAAGGGCCTTGCGATAGGTTTGGTTGCTGTTCCATCAGTCTACAAAACGACATCTCAGGCTTTCAAGGAACAATTGTTCGGGCTGATAATATGGCAGCACAGTCAGATCCTCTGCACCCTGGCATCATGGCTTTCATGTCGATTAAAGATTATTACATGGAAAATGTGACTGATCTTTTCTCAGGTTGGACAAATGCAAGCAAGATTGAGGACGCTGCACTTTGGGTTACAGATATTGATGAATGCTCACTGCCAAACTACTGCAAAGGTACATGTCAAAACATTTATGGAAGCTATAGGTGCACACCGTGCTCTCATACCCAAGAATTTGATTTCATCAAGCGGCGTTGTGTTACATCAGCTAAGCAACGAAATCTTCTTTTAGGTAAGCCATAGCATACAAAACTCCCTTGAAATTATAATTTGTAAACGTTAACATGATTCCATAACAACAACAAATGCATATAGGTATTGCAATTGGAACTGGTTGTGGCCTTGGCTCCATATTTATTGGATTGGGTCTAATTCTACTTGCCAATAAGTGGAAGAAAGGCATCCAAAAGAGACTTCGGCGAGCATACTTCAAGAAAAATCAAGGTTTGCTATTGGAGCAACTGATCTCAGATGAAAGCGCTGCAAGCAAAACAAAGATATTCTCATTGGAGGAACTAGAGGAGGCGACTAACAAGTTTGATGCTACTCGTGTTTTGGTCGTGGAGGACATGGAACAGTTTATAAAGGGATTCTATCAGACCAACGTGTGGTGGCCGTAAAAAATCCAAAACAGTGGAGTAAACAGAGATAGACCAATTTATCAATGAAGTTGTCATTTTGTCCCAAATCATCCATCGTAATGTGGTGAAACTGTTTGGTTGCTGCCTAGAAGATGAAGTTCCCTTGCTTGTCTATGAGTTCATTTCAAATGGCAATCTGTATGAACTTCTTCACATGGATACTACAGTAAAATGCTTACTTTCATGGGATGATCGCCTGAGGATTGCAGTGGAAGCATCCAGGGCTTTGGCTTATCTACACTCAGCAGCTACAATGCCAATTTTTCACAGAGATGTCAAGTCTTCAAATATACTCTTGGATGACAACTTCACCACAAAGGTTTCAGATTTTGGTGCTTCAAGATCCCTTTCACTTGATGAGACCCATGTGCTGACAATTGTTCAAGGAACATTTGGTTACTTGGATCCAGAGTATTATCATACCGGTCAACTAACGGAGAAGAGTGATGTATACAGTTTTGGAGTAATCCTTGTGGAACTCTTGACAAGAAAGAAGCCAATTTTTATTAATGATTTAGGTGCAAAGTAAAGTTTGTCCCATTTCTTCATTGAAGGACTTCACCAAGGGTCTCTTATTGAAATAATGGATAGTCAAGTTGTGGAAGAAGCAGACCAGGAAGAGATTAGTGAAATTGCCTCACTTGCAAAAGCATGCTTAAGGGTAAAAGGAGGAGAGCGACCGTCTATGAAAGAAGTGGAGATGAGGTTGCAATTCTTAAGAACAATGAGGCTGAGAAAAAGACATCATTTACCCGAAAAAGATGGAGATATTGAGCCTTTGCTATGTGGAAAATCTAAGAACTCACTTAAACATATCGATCTTATTAATGCTGCATATATACCGCCTCAAGAGACCTCGAGATGCTACAGTTTGGAACAAGAATTTGTATCTTCGTTTAGGCGACGCTAACTGCATTAGGGTAAGATTATAGAGGGCTTGCTTATATACTACTGCACCTGAGATATCATATATTTAGAAGTTGCATTTAATTTCATATCTTTGGATGAGATTGTATCACACAGATTCATTTTCTGTGTAATATACACAATGTATTGTAGACCAGATGGCTTGTATCCTTCTATATGATCGGCCTGTATCCCTTCTATATATTTCTGTAAATGCATATAGAGTATAACATCAAGTCCCTGCATTAAAGATAAAGTTCTATAAGAACATATTTGTGGTTGTCGACAATTCTATTGATAATTTGTTATCAATTGCCAATTGCTCAATCAGTGGCTCCGGTAGGCATCAGACTAATACATGATTTCAACTACGACACGTTGCTGCACTTTTTGTCATAATCAGGCTAGCACATGATTCCAGTAGGCATCAGACTAATGTGAATTGACACTCATGTATGAGAACAGAAAGATATGGCAAACTCACTCTTCCCTTCAATGCCCTTGCATGACAGTACCAACTTCGTTGTCCTTTCATGACATTATCAATAGCACGGCCATCACGTGTATTCAACACAGAACTTCAAAGTCGCATTTGCAGATATGAAAGTATGTACAAGTCTACCCTACAGATGCAACTCATCTGCATATGGAAAATCTGAATTACTAGCTTGTCGCATTTTAGACTTTTAAAACTTCTGCAAGTGTGAGCACGCGTGGATCATCAGTACCTATATTTTGAATATTTTGTACCAACTATCGGTATTACATACATGAAGCAATACATTCCACTGAAAATGACCATGGCGCAAGGGAGCCTACCAATTCAAGGAGACAACAGTAGCCAAGGCAACGGGGGATGCCTCAACCGGGTGCTTGTGCTGGGAGCCATGGAGGGGAGAGGAGGAGATCCCAAGCCCAAGGGGAGCAGTGGAGCAGGCCCCGCTCAGGCGCTCAGCCTGTTCCGCTTGCTCTACTGACTAGCGACTACCGACCCTGCGGCGACCTATGAACAACAAAGTGCGGCACTCGGCAGCGTCGGCGGCGAGGAGTCGAGGACGGAGCAAGTAGAATTGGTTGGCTTGGCGCAGGAATTGTTGGGCCTCAAAAGATTTTCTTCAGTGGGTCAGGGTGGTGCTTGCGTAAATGTGGCCCAAGAACTGCTGTGGGCAGCATGGCTCAAGGACGATTTTTAACACGGCAAGCATCCTGGTAGCCAGCATGCTCAATGTGCTTGGGCCTCATCTCACCAGACAATCCTACTTCCAATTCAGTTTTGTTGGTTCTTTGCCTCGATTTGCCAGCAGGTTCTTCCTTAAGAAAGTCACTGGATCACCTAACATGATCCAAGTTATGGCTCTGACCACACTGCAGTGCCTGCAGGCATGACCCTAGTGATTGGGCCATGGTATAGCCGTATAGTGTAAAGAACCATCCAAATGTTTAAAGCCTGCTCTCTGTTTAGGCATCTTTTCATAAACTGATTCTCTCAGTCCATATGGATTAGAGTGAAAAATGTACTAATTTTCCACCTTGAATTCAAGGCCATTGCTAATGTGGTAGCCACAGGAGAGTCACGCCTAACGTAATAACCCATAAACTTCTGAGAAGCAATGGGGCCCTTAGTAGTGATATTTTGGTTTTGTCATTTTCCATACCTACGAACGACGATCATGATGAATTAGTGGGTTGATAGTGGTAGATGTTTCAAGCGGACAGACTTGACTCGACTAAGAGCATTATCTCTATTAGCCTCTCGATAATCTATACTCGACTAAGAGCAGGGTTTTCCTTAAGTCACTAGATCACATAACATGATCCAAGTTATGGCTCTGAACACACTGCAGTGCCTGCAAGCGTGACCCTAGTAATTGGGCCGTGGTATAGTGTAACCAAATGTTTAAAGCACTACTCTGCAAATCCAATGCTAAGCACAGGCACATTTCAGTTGTCAGATGATATGAAGTTATGAACTTTGTTCTAAATTTAGATTTCAGAGTCGTGAGTGCATCATGGTAGGTGCGCGCTCTCTGTTTAGGCATCCTTTTCATAAACTGATCCTCTCAGTCCATATGGATTAGAGTGAAAAATGTACTAATTTTCTACCTTGAATTGAAGGCCATTGATATGTTTTCAGACAAAGTGGAAGCCACTAAAGAGTCATGCCTAACGTAATGACCCACAAAATTCTGAGAAGCATTGGGGCACTTAGTCGTGATACTTTGGTTTTGTCGTTTTCCATACCTACAAACGATCACGATGAACTAGTGGGCTCTAATGGTGGTAGATGTTTCAAGCGACAGACTTGACTCAACTAAGAACATCTCTATTAGCCTCTCATTAATAATCTATCTATACTCCAATATATAAATACTAAGGTAACATAATATACTTTTTATGGATATGGATGTTAAGCCCTATGGATCATCTAGGTGTAGATAGGAGGGTGAATTGCTTACTAGTTGATTCAAAATCGGCCTAGAACACGAGTCAGGAGAGGGAGACAGTGAGAGAGGGAGATGTGTGTAGGTGTATCTGACCGTCGGCTTTGGAGGATGATGAGTCGTCCATGGTGTAGTCGTGACAGAGGGTGTCGGGGTAGTAGAAGCAATAGCATCCGGCGTGGTGTAGACGTCTGGCATGGCGCAGAGGCGGTGGTGGCGGCGGCGAAGGCGATGACGCTTCCCGTCGCTTACAGCTCCCCTTTCTAGATCGGACTGGGGTTAGGACATCACGGTGGGGCTGGCGGCTACGGTGAATCTCATGTCTTGTGCCCCAGCCCCCACCGTCCTTTTATGGTGCTGCGCAACAGGGGCCATCAGCCAGTAGAAAGGCTGAGCGACCCCGATCAGGGCGCGGATCAAGGGCCTAATTGGCCGTTGGGCCAATTGGTGGAGATCAACCTAACATTCTCCCCCTTGATCTCAGCTTATATCTTAAACTTAACTTCATCTTCCTTTTTCCCATTCCATCACAGATCAGTGTATAGAGCGTGCCTCATCATCATGGTCAGTTGCCATTAGATTTAACAGCTATAATGCACCTCTCTATTTTGAAACAATACTCAACTAGGCCCTTAATATCCAGAAATCATAGGCTTTCCCGTAAACCCATGTCGACTGTGTGTTCTCTGAACGCACTGGGTGGTAAGCCTTTGATAAGCGAATCTGCAAGTACTTACTCGGTACTTATGCGCTCAATGCTTTCAAAATGATTCTGGATTTTCTCCTTTACAACATATAACTTAGTGTCAATGTGTTTGACAGCACACTTGACCTGTTGTCTTAGGAGTTAACTTACTTGAAATTGTTATTGTTGTTGTCTACCATTGTTAAATCCGGGTACAAATTCCCTTAACCTCCTTTTGCCTGTTCCTTAAGCCTCATGTCAAGCTATATTATGGTATGCATCACTGATGACACCACAACTGTTTCTTTAGAGCTTTTTCACAAAAATACTCCAACTGCTAGTGTTAGCAACTGCTGTGGATTTCACTACACATCTCACCAAAACTTAACATTTGTACCCTCAACTATTTGAGAGTACTTATTCTTTCTTACTGAGTATGAGGCCTATGATACTTTGCAAAATTGCAAGATATTCTCATCTCCATTCCAGTGATCTTTATCTGGACTAGACTTCTGCCAAAATATCCCGGATACGTAAACTGCGTTAGGGTAAGTTCTTGCTTGTACTTGTACACTCATCAAGCTTCCAACAGCTGAAGCATATGGAACCATGTTCATTTGATCGATCTCATATCGGTTCCTGGAACACTTCAAGTTCCCAAATCTATTACCCTTGACTATAGGAGCAGGCGTAGGTTTACCCGCATGCATACTTTATTTCTTTAGAATCTTTTCTAAGTATGCCTTTGCGATAGTCCTAATACCCCATTTTCTTCTATCTCGCTGAATTTCAATTCCTCGAACCTATGACGCTCCACTAAGATCATTCACATTGAAACTTGAGGACAAAACTTCTTCTCCAATGACAGATTAACATCACTACTAGTGAGTAGAATGTCATCTATTCACAGGATGTGGAAAATGAATTTTTCATTCTTGAAGTTCGCATAAACGCTATTGTCCTTCTCATTTTCTTTAAAATCCAAACTTTCTCATTGTTTCATCAACTTTAAATACTACTGTCTAGAGACTTACTTTTAATCCATAAATAGATTTCTACAGGCGGTATCCCTACATTCTTTTTCTTCCATGACAAAACCTTTGGGTTGTGCCATTTTCACATTTTCATACAAAATCCCCGTTGAGGAATGCCGTCTTTACATACATCTGATGTAACTCTAAATCATAATGTGCCAATAACACCATTTTGATTCTAAAGAATCCTTGCATGAGTTTGGAGAGAAAACTCTCATCGTAATCTATTCATCCTCTTTGTGTAAAGCCTTTTACACCAAGTCATGCTTTATATCTTTCTATATTTCCTTTGGAGTCACATTTTGTCTTGTAAACCCATTAACAGCCTATTGTTTTGGCTCCATTAGAAATTACTTCTAAGTCCCAAACTTCGTTGGTATTCATCGAATTTATTTCAACTTTCATAGCTTCTTGCCATTTAAACGAGTAAACGCTTCCCATGGCTTCTTAAAATGAGGTGGGA